CGAACTAACAGCTTTACTACTAGACAAGAACATTGACGTAGCCCTAATTACAGAAACTCGACTGACCATAAAACAGCATTTAAAAATTCCACAGTACATAACATACCGAACTGTCATTGTACACCAATTCCTCTCTCATCACTTACTCCCATTACATACTCAAGATTTCCTACAATCAACCGCTATTGTAATCAAAACCTTCTCCTTTCCGGTCACCCTTGCATCAACATATTGTCATCCTAACAGATCCATATCCAAAGTCCAGTTCAGTTCTTTCCTCAACTCCTTAGGTCATCATTTCATCCTGGGTGCAGACCTAATTGCCAAGCATCAAGATTGAGGTTCAAGAACCACGAATTCTCGTGGCAGAACATTTCCGTCTGCACTTAATTCCTATCGTTTCAGTCTCCTTCCACCCAACTCACCAACCTACTGGCCCACTGATCCTAACCGCAATTGATTTTTTAATCAACAGTGGTTTAAGTCCCCTCAATCATTCTCTTACCCATCTTGACGACCTTCCCTCAGATCATAGTTCATGAATACTTCAATTATCAATAACTCCTATCCCTAAACCCCCTTCGCCGTCCTTTATTAGAGGCCCAGTTAACTGAAAACTCTTTCATCAAATCCTTTCCGATAAAATTGACCTCAGAATAACTCTGAAAAACCCAGAAGACCTCGATAATGCCGTACATTCCTTTACCACCACTATTCATCAAGCAATCTGGACTGCTTCCTAAATATCTCCTCAAAAATTCCTAAGAAAAATAATTTACCTCAATACCTGCTAGACCTAATTCACATCAAACGCTGGCTTTATCTTAGACCGAAGACTAACGTAGAACCCACATACTAGACTTAAAAGACAAGAACGTAACCGACGATACGGCCAATTATACAGACTACTGACTAGAAAATCTCAACTTTCAATTGACAATGAATTACTGATTTACATGACAATTCTGAAACCTATTTGGACCTACGGACTTGAATTTTGGGGGATAGCAAAATTTTCTAACATCAAACGCATCCAATCCTTTCAGTACAAAGTACTCCGAACAATGGTCGATGCTCCGTTCTGTGTAACCAACAAAACCCTACATCATGATCTTAATATCCCATTTGCCCTCGAACTTATCCCTGAAAATTTTTCCAAATTCTATCAGAACGTTAAAAATTATCCGAATCTCCTGGCACAATCCCCTATCTAGTTCCACTCATTCCTTCTTTCCTCCTCGAAGGTTGAAGCGGCAGTGGTCCAGAGATCTTCTATAATATATATCGTATAGTTCTGGCAATGACCAGATCATCCACTCAAGACATAAGTGTATGTGCCTAAAGCGCTCTCGCTCAAACTCCTCTGGCTTTAGCACCAGTGACGCGGTTGAGAGAGTAGCGCAGGGATCTCTTGAAGTCCTGTTTTTCCTTCTATAGTTGGGAGGAGAAGCCTGGCTTGGGGTTCCCTGCCTGATTGTATATATTGTATATAGGTATGACTGTGTTTTTATGTTTTTAATTTACTTATCTTTAGGTTATTTTATTTTTTATTATACATAGTTTTTGATTATTATTTTACTTTTGTTAACTTAATATTTTCTGTATATATGGTATGAAAGTGTTCATTTATCACTATAATTATTGCCCACGTGACAGATCGTTATATTTATAAATAAATAAATAAAAAATTAGTATATTGTGATTACAGCGCCTCTGATCAGCCTCTACTGGCCATTAATACCAGTAATGCGGCTGATTTAGAGGCGCTGGAGTCTTCTAGAGTACTGCTTTTCCTTCCTCGAGCGGAAAGATGGCTTGGCTCGGTGATCTTGGATGAATGTATATTTATTTTTTTTAGATATTGTATAGAAGCGTGTGTGTGTGAGTAGTTATTTTTAATAGTTTACTTTTTTTTGGTTTAGTTTATATACATTTACTTCTAGTATTCCTTTCAATCTAAAGTCCTTCGAACAATAATTGATGCTCCATTCTATCTAACCAACAAAACCCTACACCATGACCTGAATATCCCATTTGTCTTAGACCTTATCCCAAAAAATTCTCCACATTTCACTAGAACCTTATCTATCATCCTAACACCCTTGCACAATCCCTATCCAGTACCACCCATCCCTACAACCCTCCAAGAAGGTTGAAGCGGCAGTTTCCCCGAGACCTTTTGTGAATAAGTATACATTGGAGTTTTGGCAGTGGCCAGATTCTCCATTCAAGCCATGTATGTGTGATTATAGCACCTCTGATCAGCCTGTACTGGTCCTTAATACCAGTAATGCGGCTGATTTAGAGGCGCTGGGAACTTCTAGAGTCCTGTCTTTTCTCCCTCGAGTGGGAAGAAAGGTTTGACTCGGAGATCTTTTTTTTTTTTTAGATATTGTATAGAAGCGTGTGTGTATGTGAGAAGTTGTTTTTATTAGTTTAGTTTATTTTTGTTTGGTTTAGTTTATATATATTTACTTTTAGTATTGATCAGCTGATGCGAAGGTTGTCTCCTCAACTCCTCTCTCAGTTTTTACCAATTTTATAGCGGAATCTCTCTGATTATTCACGTGATACAGTTAAAGTGTATATCAGAGCAGTTGATATTTACTGTTGGCATCGTTTTTTTTTTTGTTATTTTAAGAAAAAAAAAAAAAAAAAATTTTTTATTTTTTTTATTTATTTATTTTGTTTCTCTTATGATATGCGGTATGATCAGCAAGTGATGGCCAGTAAGGTGCCCAAGAGGTCTCGGTCAGACGGAGTTAGCTCACCAGCCAAACAAAGGACTCGTCGCTGCCTACGAGAAATACCTCCAGTGACCAAAATGAACACTTCAGAACCAGAACCTCAGCCCCAACCAGGTACGTCTGCACAGGAAACGATTGAAGAATCACCTTTCTTTACTCCAAACCCCTACCAAGTGCTTCAAAATGACAGAGAAGTAATGGAGTCTGCAGCAATACCCAGAGAACCAAAGCCTCCTCCGATATTTGTGAAAAATATAAAAAATTTCCAGATGTTCTGCACCCAACTAAATAAAATCTGCTCTGGCAGTTATTCATGCCTTAACAGGACCAATGACACCAAAATAACACCTGATTCTGCAGAAGCCTACCGAAAAATAGTGAAGTACTTATCAGAAACAAATTGCGAATTTTCACACTTACCAGCTGAGGCAGGAAAGAGCTTTACGAGTAGTGATAAGAAATTTACACTCCTCAACCCCCACTGAAGTTATTAAAGAAGAACTAACGACGCTTGGTTTCAATGTACGCCAGGTAACAAACGTTTTGAAGGAAGACAGGGAGCAGCCAGGATTACGAAATAGGATCCCACTACCATTGTTTTTCGTGGACTTGGAGCCATCACCAGGTATCGAAAAAATATATGATATCACAAGAATATACTACACAATGGTGAAAGTTGAGAAGCCATACCCCAAGAGAGACATCGTGCAGTGCCATAATTGTCAGACCTATGGCCACACGAAGACATATTGCCACCATCTGCCGCGTTGCGTGAAGTGCGGTGAACAGCACAAATCTGTAGAGTGCACCAAACCTATACAAGATCCAGCAGTATGTGCCCTATGCTTGGAGGGACACCCGGCCAACTACAAAGGCTGCCAAATTTACAAGAATCTCAAAACCAGACACCAGAAAAACCGGATTCAAGATGAAGCACTAAGAACAAGAAGAGAGAGAGAGCCTTCCAGAATTGTAAACAATGATGTATCATTCTCCCAACTACTTAGAGGTAAGACTTTAACCGATAAATGTCAAGCCCTGCCACAACAACAACCTCAACCTCAACCTCAAAATCCTCTTCATCCTAATATACCTAACCACCAACAACAAATTCCTCATATTCCTCCTCCTTCAAATGCAACAGATCTCACAAGTTTGTTAGCATCTTTCCTCACCGATTTCAAATCCCGGGTTACTCCACTCATATCACTCCTCACGAATCTCGTATCTCACCTCATCCCTCCTTTAAAAAATCCTTAAATGACTCACATCCCTAAACCCATATCCATTCTCCTTTGGAAAGCGAATGGTGTTAGAAATCATACAGACGAACTATCTACTTTACTACTTGACAAGAACATTGATGTGGCACTAATTACTGAAACTCGACTAACCACTAAACAGCACTTCAATATACCACAATACCTGACATATCGTACTGACCACCCTGACGGAAAAGCACATGCCGGTACTGCTGTAATTGTACACCAATCCCTCTTCCATCACGTACTCCCATTACCAATACATGATTTAATACAGTCCACCGCTATCGTGATAAAAACCTTCTCCTTTCCGGTTACTCTTGCATCAGCGTATTGCCCTCCTAACCGATCCATTTCCAATGCCCAATTCAGTTCTCTCCTCGACTCCTTAGGACATCACTTCATCTTGGGTGCAGACCTAAATGCCAAGCACCAACAATGGGGTTCCAGAACCACGAATTCTCGTGGCCGAACCCTGCTGTCTGCACTCAATTCCCAACGTTTTCACCTCCTTTCCCCCAACTCTCCTACCTACTGGCCCACAGATCCCAACCGTAATCCTGATCTTCTTGATTTCTTTATCCACAGCGGCTTAAGTCCCCTCAATTGTTCCATTACACGTCTAAATGAACTTTCCTCTGACCATAGTCCTCTAATCCTTAATGTTTCACTTGAACCCGTTCCCAAACCTTCTCCACCGTCATTCATTAGGGGCCCAGTAAACTGGGACCTTTTCCGCCAAATAATCTCCGATAATATTGATCTCAACATATCCCTCAAAACTCCCGATGACCTTGATAGTGCCGTAAATTCCTTTACTACCACAATCCAACAAGCCGCCTGGACTGCCTCCTTCCCAAAAGACTCCTCCAGAATTCCTATAAAGAACATTCTACCCCAACACCTCCTTAGCCTAATCCGCACCAAACGCCGTGCCAGATTATTATGGCAACGTACCCGACATCCTACCGACCGCTGCTCCTATAATTACTACTGCAAACAATTAAAACTGGAATTAGCCACCTTCAGATCACAATCCTTCAACTCCTACCTATCCTCCCTCTCTTCTCGCGACAATTCCCTTTGGAAAACCACAACAAAAATCCTAAATCCTCACCGCATTTCCCATCCTCTCCGACGAGGTGATGGCTCCTGGGCAGCATCTGACGAAGATAAAGCTGAGGAGTTCGCCATTCACCTATCCAATACATTCATTTCACATCCGGAATCCCATCCTGCCCACACCGTAACAGTAGAAGAACTCCTTACATCACCAATCCCACTTTCCTTGCCCCCAAAAGCTATTCATCCTTCCGAAGTAAAATTTCAATTAAAAAAACTAATTCCCCGTAAAGCTCCTGGACATGATCTCCTTACACCTCAAATCCTTCGACAACTTCCATCCAAAGCAGTTATATTCCTTACATATATCTACAATTGTATCCTACGCACCACCCACTTCCCTCTGTTATGGAAACACTCCACTATTATAATTTTCCAAAACCAGGAAAACCTCTCAATAGCTCAACATCCTATAGACCAATCAGCCTACTCCCAATCCTTTCAAAAATTTTTGAAAAGATCCTTTTGAAACGAATCCTACCCATTATAGAATCCCAAAATATCCCTTCCCATCAGTTTGGTTTTCGCTCTCAACATTCTACTGTTCAACAAGGACTCCGAGTTGTTGATCATATTTCCTCAGCCCTAGAAAATAAGGAATACTGTTCGGGTGCCTTTCTGGACATTGCACAGGCATTTGACCGGGTATGGCACTCCGGACTGCTCTCCAAGCTTAAAATCCATTTACCTCAGTCCTTGTACCTAGTCCTCCGATCCTACCTCTCTGACCGCTCCTTTCGAGTTCGCTGTGGAACAGAATTTTCCAATATCTACTCCGTTAAAGCCGGTGTTCCCCAAGGCAGCGTCTTGGGTCCCGTGCTTTACATCCTCTTTACTGCTGACATCCCTGTTCATCCCGATACTTTTCTTGAAACATTCGCTGACGACACCACAATCTTATCATCCAACTCTGATCCCGAAATAGCATCCTTAAATCTCCAAAGTCACCTCACCTTGATTGATTACTGGTGTAATAACTGGCGCATTAAAGTTAATGAATCTAAATGCCAACATATTACCTTTACACTCCGACGCAATTCCTGTCCACCAGTACTCTTTAATTCCATCCAGCTTCCTTACTCAGACACAGTCCGGTATCTTGGCTTTCATTTAGACCGAAGACTAACTTGGAACCCGCATACTAGACTCAAAAGACAAGAACTCAACCGACGATACGGCCAACTATACCGACTACTAAGCAGAAAATCTAAACTTTCCATTGAAAACAAGCTACTGATCTACAAGACAATACTGAAACCTATTTAGACTTACGGACTAGAACTGTGGGGATCAGCAAAATTTTCTAACATCAAGCGCATCCAATCCTTCCAGTCTAAAGTCCTTCGAACAATAGTCGATGCTCCTTTCTATGTATCCAACAAAACCCTACATCATGACCTTAACATCCCATTTGTCCTAGACCTTATCCCAGAAAAATTCTCCAAATTTCACCAGAACCTTACTTACCACCCAAATCCTCTTGCACAATCCCTATCAAGCATCTCCCATCCCTATAATCCTCCAAGAAGGTTGAAACGGCAGTGGCCTCGCGACCTTTTGATTGTATAAACTGGAGTTCTGGCAATGGCCAGATTCTTCACTCAAGACATGTTTGTATGTGGCTAAAGTGCTCTCGACCAATCTCCGCTGGCTTTAGTACCAGTGACGCGGTTGGGAGAGTGGCGCAGGGTTCTCCTGGAGTTCCCTCGCCTGATTGTATATAGGTATGCATGTGTTTTTTTTTTTTTTTTCTTAGTTTTAATTTTCTTATTTTTTAGGTTATTTTATTTTATTGTCTATTGTATATACTTTTGATTATTATTTTGTTCTATTTATTTTATTTTTTTGTGCATATGGTGTGAATGTCATCCTACCTCACTATAACCAATGTCCAACAGACAGATTGTTATAATACTCAATAAAGAAAAAAAAAAAACTTTTAGTATTATAGTTTTTTCTATATTATTTATTTTTATTTATTGTTGATTGAGCGTGAATGCTCTCTCTTAACACTATTATAAATTTTCCTTATTTGCGACAGATTGTAATATCTCTCTAGACATATAGTAAAAAAATAAATAGTGTAACAACTTTTGACCTATTAATGTTATATTTAAAATCAAGTAAGTGTATTTTGGTATGTCCATCCAAGGGTAAAAAATAAGAATTTAAATACATATTAAAAGTGATAGAGGTTTAGTAACTATATTTTTTACAATGTAGTACGAGACTGGAGTTATTGAAATACATTAAATACAAATAGACTCATGCAGTTACATCAAACGTTTTGATAGGCTATAATCGATATTATAAATAGGGTTTATTTTAGTGTGTTGGTCTTAATGAATTATTATATTAATGAATATGACCGAAATTCAAAAATATGTTGTTTAAAGTTTAGCTGCATTAAAAATGCGGTTCAAAAACTTCTTGGAATAGCCCAATTTTGCCAGAGAAGGATTTTCAAAGTAGAACGGTAAGTGAAAGTTGTGTGATGCACGCACCAGATTTCATTTCTCTTTATAATTTTTCGTTATGCAAAAAATAATGCTTAGTCCAGGTTTTGTTTTGTTCAATATTATACAGTCCATTATTTATATTATATAATTCCTTTCTTTTATTTCACATCTATAAGCTAAGCTTCATTCCAAGTTTTCACGTAAAAGTTTGAGGGAGTTATTTGGTTTGAGGGATAATTTTGGTCCTGGCCGGATAAATTAGGATATAAGTATTTATTTTTAAAATACTGATTAACTTAGTACATAATATTAATTATTCTAATGCAGGTTAGGTCATAGGTAAGCAATGGGACCTCAAACAGATAAATAGAAAATTCGTCCTTTATCCGACCTTGAAGATGAATTAGGTGACTTGGCTAACGATATTTTAGATACACGGAATATTGGTATCAATTGTTTAGAAAATTTTCAAAAGTTAAATTTATTTAAGGCGAGTCTGTCTATTTTAAACAATTTATATGATCAATTTCATAAATTAATTAGGAATGCTAAATCATGGAGGAGAATTCTTGAGGATAAATCAATTTCGCGATTCGACAATTTCATATTTTAAATCAGAAACATTTATTATGAACCATCATCTCTTGGGATTATGGTTGAATCTGCTTCTGATTACCAAACTATGATAAGTGAATGTAAATGTGTCTAGTTTGAGTCTCGTATTATGTAAAAGACGATAGATTTACCCACCTTTGCCGGTCAGATTTATAAATGGGTATCGTCCAAAGATACTCGTTATATCTATTTTCCACCGTTATATCACTTTATTATTATAAAATTTATTCATGTTGAAAGATTTATATAATGTTCAATTACCATATCATGTGTCAGCTCCCATGTTGCCAGTTTCATTGTTACTGAGTGACTTGTTGATATATATATACCTATATGTATGTATATATTTTAAGCAATAATAGCAAGTTATTTTAAATTTTTATTAAATATTTATTGGAAACATGTGATCGATTGAAAAAGCAAATTGCTATAAAAATTAGATCGATATTTAAAATGAAATTTACTCGGTATTGGTCGACTTCTAGAGGAAAATACTGGTAGCTAGAAGTGCTGAAACACAAGAAGGACAACTTCGAAAAGTTGACTTAAAAAACACTACTCACTGTTCGAAAACAGAAGATCGGTGATTTTATTTATTTATTTATTTTCAAAGTTTAACAAGAAAAGAGCTGACCGCTTCGGTAAAAAAAAAAAAAAGGTTCATCCCTTCATTGAGGCGATCGTGAGTTGGAATTTGGAGGAGTTCAGGGAAACGTTGGTGTATTGTAGGAAATTCGTAGGATCAGCTGAAGTGAATGTAATGATTTAAGAATTTGTCAACAATGACTGCAGTTCCTCCATGTACCGTGTTGTCTGGATGATCAGTTCTGTATGTTTCGTAATCATGTAGCTTAAATGTTTGTCAGTTAAATGAGTTTCAGTTATCAAGGCAATGTTTATGTCATGCTCTTTTAAACAAATTTCCAGTCCTTTTTTCCGTTGGAACAAACCATTGGAGTTCCAGAGGAGTATTCTAAGAGAAGGAGATTTCGAATTAGCCATGGGAAGGATTTGAAATGAAGCCAGAAACTAGTTAAGTTAGAAGTTCTAGAATAGGATATAGAAGGGATTTAAGCTGAGACAGAAGAGGTTCAAAAGAATACTTTATAGCTGAAGAGAGATCTAAAGATAAGGAAAGAAGGGGAATTGAAGCTGTGGGAGGATATCTCCCTGTTATCTTTGTATAAGGGACCTCTACCACATTAGCTGGTTCATCACAACTCTGTGGTGTAAGACTGTTCTCTTCTAATATATGAACTGGTTTAGTTTGTTCTCCATTAGTTTTTAGTGATTTGGATGGTGAGTGGTCCACTATGTTTGTAGTCTGTGAAGAGAGGAGATCTATCTCCAATCCTGATCCAGAGGTTGCTTGTCTGACAGATTGTTTATTTCTCAGACTTATAAGTTTTTTAATGCAGCTCATCCTTTGTAGTTGGAAGGACAAGCACCTTAGCAGTTAACACAAGTGGCGGGCGTTTCTCTTATTTTTGTACAATGTGCTGTGAGGTGTGGTCCAGCAAACTTCACAAACTTGGCGAGAAGGCTGCAGTACCCTTTTGTGTGGCCATTTTGGCCTTTTGGCATCTTTGGCATTGTGGTGGCTCCTTTCTGAAGTATAGTTCTTTTATCTTAATTCTTGTATATACTAAGAATTCCAGCTTGAGAATCTTTTCATTTTTTGGACTTTGTTCCAAAATTAAAAAAATATTGGTAGCGGTATTTTTGTTTTAGGATGCTTTGCGTCTTAAATTTTTTCACACACACTTTCAGTTCAAATTTGATGTCTTCGATTTATGTAGTGGGATGAAGGTTTCGTATAACTATACTAAATGGTTTTTCATTTTGTAGCTGGTAAGTGTAGAATGTTGCATTTTGTGCTTTTAGTAGTTTTATGGTTTTTCTGTAACCATTTGGAGTAGACAGAAATATTCTTGTCTGTTTATTATAAGGAAGACAGTAAAATCATCGAGGTCCAGCTTCTGCTGATAAATTTTGGCACAATTCTTTGAAGTTTTTAAATTAATAGGAGGAGGTCTTGG